TGGCTGCACAAGAAGCCACCCCAGAAGCACTGAACGTAGCTGAGGAAAAAGGAGCAGAGGACTCGGAAGCACAGGTTTTCCAGCAGACCCCGTCTGAGTCTGCTCAGCCGGAGAGCAAAGAGGTGGAGGCTGTGCACGAAGACCTGTCGTCTTCTGGTGGGGTGGCAGAGAGCAGCTCCCAGACCTGTACCCCACCCGTGGCCGCTGCCGAGGGCAGCGTTTCACAGGAGGGTGCTGCGGCACGCGGTGGGAGCCAAGTCCCTTCCTCCCAGGCAGACGCACCTCCGGGCAACGCTCAAGCAGAAATCGTTGAACCAGTACAAAAACCAGTAGCAGAAGCTCCCAAACCACCCAAAATAGAGGAGATTCCTCAGCGGATTACCAGGAACCGGGCTCAGATGCTCGCCAACCAAAACAAGCAGAACGCCGCCTCCTCTGAGAAGGAATTTCCTCCTGTTTCTGCGCCCGCCACACGTGCCAAAGGCCGCATTACGGAGGAGGACGATTCCCAGGCCCAGCACCCGCGCAAGCGCCGGTTCCAGCGCTCCAACCAGCAGCTGCAGCAGCAGATCAACACGTCCACCCAGCAGACGAGGGAGATGATACAGCAAACACTGGCAGCTATCGTCGATGCTATAAAACTGGACGACATTGAACCTTATCACAGTGACAGGTCTAACCCCTACTTTGAGTACCTCCAGATCAGGAAAAAGATTGAAGAGAAGCGGAAAATCCTCTGCTATATTACTCCCCAAGCTCCGCAGTGCTACGCTGAATATGTCACCTACACAGGCTCCTACCTGTTGGATGGCAAGCCTCTAAGCAAGCTCCATATTCCAGTGGTGAGTCACCTTCTCTCTTTAAACCGCGGCATCAGGGACTGTCCCCTCCCTTGCTGCTACAAGCACAGCCAGATTGTCCCCTACGCACCGCGAGCGCCCTTGCAATGCCGATGGCACCCCGGCCGTTGCTTTAGCCTACTTTTAGAACGTGCTTATGACGACAGATCTAAGCCTCGGTAAGTGGATGGCTGCATGACAAATGCATCCTCTGAGATGCTGTATGTTTGCAGAGAAGACCTTGGGCTGTGCTTAGGACCCTGAGATTTGCTCAGGCTTTAGAGCAAGTTTGTATGAATCCACTGGATTTGAGGCTGGGAGGCAAAACTGCTTTTACAAGCAGTACAGTAATTGGATAATGAACCTAGAAGACTGTAGGAGAAAGATGGCTCTTAACTCCTGCCTTCATTTTCCCAAGCTCTGATACTTGACTTGCCGATAGCACTCGCTCCTTGGCAGTGGGATCTGCATTTCACTGCTGTGCTGCATGAATGGACTTGCTAATACAAATGCATCAATAAACTTAATGCTGCAGGCAGTAAATCCAGGATCCAGCCTGGAGGAGGGGGGTCGATACGACCAGCCATGTCAAGCTTCGTTCCCTGCTGCAGGCAGGGTGAAATGCCCCGGTCTGCGGGTATTTCTGTTGCAGTGTAGTCCGTGCGTGAGTTACTGTTTGCATCGCGCTTTGTCTGCCCCAGCACCGCGGTGGTCGTGGCCTGTGTCCGCATCTGCTTGTTCCCTCCTAGACTAACGCAGAGCCACCTGCTCCTCTGCTCTGCAGTTTGGGCTGTGCTTGAGGAGCGCCTTGCTCCCCAGGAAGGCGCAGGACAGATCAGGACACAGGCACCCTTCCCGGTGCGCAGACTGGGCTGCTCACGGCAGTATTTCTCCAACAGTATCATCCCCTTCGTCAGATGCGCTCAGGCCCCTTTGCAAACTGCCCTTGCAGCACGTGGGGTGATTTAGGCTCTGGTTCTGCAGGCTGAGCTCGTCTCTCGGCACTGGACACCTCTTGCCCTGTTGTCTCACCCCTTGCTGTGGTCTGAGCACTGGCGGGACGTTGTCCTTTGCCGCCTGCCTGCTGAGGAAATAGGCAGACTTTCTCCTCCGGTGAGCTCCATACAGCACCCCGCGGGGTGGCACCGACTCCCTCTCCAAGCCCTTGGCCAAGGTGCATTTCACCTACGTGGCTGTGCCGCAGGCTCTAACCCTCCGCTGCCGTGTGCCCGCAGATCGCCCCGCCGCCGTCGCTCGCGGAGCCTCTGAAGGAGCTCTTCAAGCAGCAGGAAGCCGTCCGGGGGAAGCTGCGGCTCCAGCACAGCATAGAGCGGGTAAGGGAGCGCACCGGGGAGACTCCGGCTGGGGAAGAGGTCCCGGATTTCCTCTGCTGGGGAAGCTGAGGCTGCCACGCTCACTGCTTCGTTTGCTCTTCCTCAGGAGAAGCTCATCGTCTCCTGCGAGCAGGAGATTTTGAGAGTTCATTGTCGGGCAGCAAGGACTATTGCCAACCAGGCTGTGCCCTTCAGTGCCTGCACCATGCTGCTGGACTCCGAGGTCTATAACATGCCTCTAGAAAATCAGGTCAGTGCCTGTCTTGGTGGTGAAGAAGTGTCTCAGAGGTGCTGTGCAAGACCCCGAGGGAGATGGTGCTTTTCTGGACGGAGGGAGGGAGGAGAGGGATGTAGGCAGGAGTTACTAATGCTCTCCCTGCTCAGGTGCCTGTCGCCCACCGCGGCACACGGATGCAGGACACCTTGCAGGAGCCCTCCCCAGCACGTGCCCAGGTTGCCTAATCTGACTCAGTTTCTGGTGTCGCGTGTTCTGGGATACTCCACGTGCGTGCCGGGGAAGGAAATACAGCCGGGAACACAGGGATACAGGGAGCATCATGTCTCTTTAGGAGCAGAGATGACTCGGGTTTATCAATGAGTCTCAGGACCCTCTGCCTTTCTTCTTGGTCAAGATCATCTGCTCTGGGATGTCTTTTCCTGTTGAAGGAAGGGGAAACAGCCATTAAATTGATTTGTGTCTGAATAGTGGCTTTGAAAGAGCCAGACTCCGTCTCGCAGCCCACAAAAAGTGGTCATTTCTTCTTTCGATTTCATGTTGTTCTGTGCCGGAGAAGGGGGAATCGTGTCCGGTTTCTGCAGCCGGTGGCCGTGCGGCTGCGGTGGTCCTGCGCCATCCCGCCAGCCCCCTCTGCAGCCTGTACGCCGCAGCTGCTGCCAGCCCGGCTGCTCGGAGAAGCACGCTGCTGCATTGCAGGAGGGATCCTGTGCAGGGATCTGTGCTTCTACAGCGAAGACGTTATGGTCTTGGGCATGAGTTGAAGGAGGCAGAGAGGTGCTGTGACAGGCTGGCACGGGCAGATTCTCTGCAAAGCAAGCAAAAATGGGGGGTGCGTGCACGCACGCGTACGTGCATCTCTGAGGCTGAAGCCCCTGGCAAAGGGTCTGCAAGAGCAGCTGGGAGCAGCATGCTCTGTTCCCCCTCCCTGCAGGCACCTCTCTTGTTTCTGATTTCTTTAATCAGAATTTCTTTACTGAAAGAGTGGTTAAACCTTGGAACAGGCTGCCCAGGGAAGTGGTTGAGTCCCCATCCCTGGAGGTATTTAAAAGACGGGTAGATGAGGCGCTGAGGGACATGGTTTAGTGGGCATGGGGGCGTTGGGTCGACGGTTGGACTCCATGATCTTGGAGGTCTTTTCCAACCTTAATGATTCTATGATTCTGTGATGAGTGTGTGCCCTAAGAGGGGTTTGAACGTGGCCTGTTAGACCTGGGACTGCTTAAAGTAAAAAAAAAAAAATCTACCATGTAATTCCCTTTTGCTGTCTTTTGCTTAGGGAGACGAAAATAAATCGGTCAGAGATCGTTTCAACGCGCGACAGTTCATTTCCTGGTTGCAAGACGTGGATGACAAGTACGATCGAATGAAGGTGAGAGGTGCGGGACCCCCGGTGCCCCAGGCCGCCGCGGCGGCGGCGCCTGGGCGGCAGCAGGTCCTGCTGCTCTGCCTCCCCCAGGGAGGGTTTCCCGGAGAGGGGTCCCGGCTGTTGCTGTAGCCTGGAAGCTGCCTTTGTGGTTTCCAAAAATCTGCTGGGAGCAGGTGTCCCGAGGTGGTCCGGGCAGCGTGAGGTGATGGGGGGACGCTTCTGTGCACGGCACGGCTGAGAGGTGGGAGCCTCTGCGGGGACTAGGGGAGCACAGTTGCCTCTGCGCTTCTGCGCACGGCACGGCTGAGAGGTGGGAGCCTCTGCGGGGACTAGGGGAGCACAGTTGCCTCTGCTGGTTCCAAAAAGGGGGAAGGGAGACACGTTCCGCTTAGGGTTGGCTGGCTGGCTGTTACTCTGCTTTGCGCCATATGGTCTGGAGTTTTCTCGGTCAGTTAAACCCTCGGGCCCCGCTCTTCGCCAGCAACACATGCTGCAGCAAGCTCAAAACCTATGGCAAACTTCAGGGCGGCAGAAGCCCATGCGATGATTTTCCGGAGTGCCGTGCAGAGCGCTGGGTGGCGAACCCGGGCACGGTAGGGAGCAGGGACGATTGTGCTTTCAGCTGGTGACACAGAGGGAGTTGGCAGCTCCCACGAAGGGAGCGGGACCCTGTTCTCGGGCAGCCGAGGGCCGCTGATGGGGACTGTCTGCCGAGGCTGTCACCAGCGGGGTCAGTGCTCTGAGAGCTTATGAGCCTTTAAAAGCCGCCCCACAAGGCCCTTTTGGGCTTGCCCCTGCTCCTGCTGGAGCTGGGCTCAGCAGACGTCCCAAGTCCAGGTTTCATTCCCGCGAGGCTGTGTGTGGCGTCCCTCGCTCCGTTTGCTGCTCTGCCCGCCGCGATGGCTGCAGGTCCCCTGCCTTTGCCGGGTGGGACGGGCAGCAGGCGCCTTTCCTGCCCTCTCTCGCTCACCCACAGCAACACGAAGCTGCCGCCTTGAACGCGGTGCAAAGGATGGAGTGGCAGCTGAAGGTGCAGGAGCTGGACCCCGCGGGGCACAAATCCCTCTGCGTGAACGAGGTGCCCTCGTTCTATGTGCCAATGGTCGACGTGAACGATGACTTTGTGCTCTTGCCGGCATGACAGTTCAAAACCAGGAGACATCACTGAAAACTGGCAAGGACGGGAGCCCTCCGAGGTCGGGCGGTCGAGCTCACATTCACCCTTACCGCTTGCTGATGAATCCCTGGTCAGAGGAGGAGGAAGCAGCTATCGGCAGAAAACAAAACAATAAGAAAAATAATTGCACTTTCTTCACAACGCGTCCCTCGCTTCCGGACTGACGGCAGCTCCGCCGGGCAGCGGGCCGGGGCGCATCTCCTTTCCAACCGGCTGCCGCCGCAGGGGGGGCGGCCGGCCCGCCGCGGG